CCAGCGGGCTCAGGTGACCCCGAGCGGCGGAAGGAGAGTCCCGGCCCCCTGCGGGCTGAGGATTCACTCTAGATGGGCGCGGCCTGGGAGAGTCCTGGGCTTGGGCTTGCAGGGGTTAAGCTGGACCCGGTTAACGCTGGAACAGCGGCCCGTCCTCCGTCCCGCACTATTCTAGACGCCTTGGGTGACACTGAGGCCACTCACTCAGCAGGTTAATGGAACCACCAGGCACAAAGAGCTAAGTGCTATGTGGAGTTGTTTTCTTAGCAGGACGCAAATCAAGGAGCCATTCCCTCTGACTGGGAGCGGGGAGATGGAGCAGAGAGGATTCCCGGGGGAGAAGACGTCCGAGCTAGGGAGGAGGAGGATTGGAGCACCAGGCAGAGAAAGTGGCCTAGACAAGGGTGTTAGGGCGGAAAGATCTTGAGCGGTACTGAGGGGAAGTTGGACTTTGGGATGGTTAGGATTAAAGTGTGTGGAGGGCCCACTTTCCGCAGGAATCAGAAAATAACCATAACTGAGGCTGGCACAGCCCTTACTGAGCACCCAACACTGTCCTCCGCACCTAACACCCCTTCATTTACTTAATTAATCAATCTAGGAAAAGAACTACCCTTCATTGCCTTTCAATATGTGCCAGGAACTCTGCATACATCATCTCTTTTCATTAGCCCCATAATTTCCTAGAGCAGGTACTAAGAGTATCCTGTTTTACAGATGAGAAAACCAGACCTAAGAGGCTAATTTGCTCAAGGTCAGTTACCTCTTAAAGGTTCTTTCTCTAAAGAATCATACTGGGGGTTAGGGCTTCTACATAGGAATTTGGGGGGACATAGTTCAGTCCATAATAGTCCATCCTCTGCTCCCCAAAATGCATGTCCTTCTTACATGCAAAATACATTCATGCCATCCCAATAGCCCCCAAAGTCTTAACCCATTCCACCATCAGCTACAAGTGTAGTGTCTCATCTAAATTCCTAATTAGATATGGGTGAGGTTCTAGGTATGATTCATCTTGAGGCCAAATTTCCCTCCGTCAGTGAACCTGTAAAACCAGGCAAGTTACTGTTTTCAAAATAGAGGTATAGGATAGACATTCCCATTCCAAAAGGGAGAAATGAGAAAGAAGGGTGACGGTTAAGAGTAAGTCCAAAACCTAGCAAGGCAAATACCACTGAATCTTTCTTTTTTATTGTTGACAGTATTACAGATGTCTCCCAACCCCCCTTTCCCCCTCCTCCCAGCCCCCACCCCACCCCAGGATTATGCACATTTGCATATCAGTTCTTCGGTTGATCCACTAAATCGTTTTTTTAAAATATATTTTATTGATTTTTTACAGAGAGGAAGGGAGAGGGATAGAGAGTTAGAA